AAGTGCTATAAGTATGTAACTCAGGGGGAAAAAGTGCCATTTTCCCTAAGTTTTTTGTTTAAATATTATTTTCCCTTATTAAACAATTGCCTTTTTAAATATATTTTTCTTTCCAAAAACAACTAGCAAATAGTATGGTAGTGTTTAGTAAATGGCTAATTAAGCAAAAATTTAGATGGTTTGACTAATCAATAAGCTTTAAGTGTTTGGTAAAATGATTTACATTAGTTTATTGGGGCAATGCGCTTGATGTGACAAATTATAAGGTATACGGTCGAGTAGGTAGTTTTGTAGTCTTGTGTGTATGAATCCGGATGAATATGGCTACTCCATTTAGTTATGAGATTGTTGAGTAAATGCAGTGTGGTCGGAAGTTTATAGTGGGAATTAATTTCACTTTTGGTCCCACGATTTTTGATGTTCTATCACTTTTGGTGCACAACTTTAAAATTTTTTAATTTTGGTGCCTAACTTTGTTATTTTTATCAATTTTGGTCCTTTCGGCCAAATTGACTGTGAAATGTTGTTGGATTTTATATTGTTAGGGGTAAAATCTTCATCCCAAGGAAACATCTTCAATATCTAAACAAGATCACCGTAAAATCATATCTATAGGTGTTTGATGATGAGAATAATGGGGAAGATGGCCAGAAACCAGACATATCTATGGGATTTATAGTTTCGACCATTGGCAAACTCTTCTTTTCCTCTTAATATGATTTTTCTTTTGTTTAAATATTGAAGATCTTTCCATGGGATGACGATTTTGCCCCTAAAATATAAAATCTGGAAATATTTTACCGTCAATTTGGCTAGAAGGACCTAAACTGATAAAAATAACAAAGTTAGGCACCAAAATTGAAAAAATTCAAAGTTGTGCACCAAAAGTGATAAGAACTCAAAAGTCATGGGACCAAAAGTGAAATTAATTCTTTATAGTGGGGAAAGAGTCAAAAGGTCCTCTCTTCTAACAATTCATGCGCCTTTTATAGGAGAGGGAGGGTGAACATGCTAGGCTTTCATCATGTCTTACATGTATTGGGTGTAGGTTCATAATTATTGTGCCAGATGTTTAGATAAGACTTAAAAGGTGATTGGATGTGATATGACTAGTCGTTAAACACTAAAAAGCTAAGAACATTCACAATAGAGCATAATATGGAGTTAATGTAAGATAAAATAATTTGGGTGGGGTTATTTATAGATGTGGGGTGGGATTAATTAAGGAATTATTTATTATGCAAGGGTAGGAAATATTGTCAAAAAAAAAAAAAAAACAACACAGGCTGTGCGCGAGGTCACTGCACGCGCCCATGTGACGCTTCATTTTTTATTATTATTATTTTTTTTTTAAATTTCAGTTTTGTTATTTTTTTTCTTTTTTCTCTCCCCACATCTTTTCTTTCCTAATCACTCTTACAATATCCCCATAATATTCCCAACTGATAATAATGTTCTAAGAAGATCATCGTTTCACTTAACTGATTGCCTTTAATTGTGAAATGACCATTTTACCATTGTCATCTCTAACATCTATATCTCTTTTGTTGCTGTGTTTTTCGTAACAACAATAATAATATCACTAGTCTATCTTTCTGATTTCACTATTCCTTGTAACAACAATAACAACAACAATAATAAATAAATAAATACTTATTTTTCAATTAGTTATTTCTAATTTCACTCTCCTATAGCAACATTTTACAAATTTTTTTGACCCTTAAATACAGACCACTAAATGTGACAGAAAATTAAAATAAAGCAATGCAATATGATGAAATTAAAAATGTGAAGTATCACTGTAGTCGACACTAATGATGAAATTAGCTCTTTTGCATGTTGAAAAATTAACGAATTATTATTACTATAATTACTATGCACGTGTAATTCATGGTATTTAGTATGCGGAAATTATTATTCATCTGTTACTATGCACGAGAATCATGCAATAGCTATTAGTATTAGTATTTAGTATTTCATAATTAAATTAAATCATCCTTAATTTGCACCCTTGATTACATGATTTGGAACGCAAATTATTCATTTGTAATTTATTTGCACAAATTCATAGTTAAAAATACCTCATTGGTCATGCTTCTCATTCATTTGCAATCCTCTTCCTGTACTTTTCATACGCTAAACTTTTCAACTTTTCAATATGGCTCCCACCTTCAATCTACTTAACCAAATCACCGCTACCTCCACGAATTGTGCGATACAAGTTCGTCTAATCCGAATGTACGAGTCAACATTCAACAATATATAACACCTACAATTCTCATACTTTGGAGTGTGTATTTCATGTTTCTAAGGTATATTCGTCACTTTTAGTATAGATATATATAGATTATCTTTTAGTGTGTGTGTATATATATATATATATATATATAATTTCATAATATATTCAATCCCAATATATATTTTTCTTAATTTTAGTTTTATAATTCACATGCTAATATGTTTGTTATATAACACAATAACACATATTCATGTATTTCATATTCTATTATAATATAGATTTCCATCAAATTTTTACTTTTTGTCAATTTAGGGTACGCGTATATATGGAACAATAATAAAAAAAAAGGCTCAAGTTGATGAATTTTAAAAAATCTTTTTTTGAGGGTCATTTGTACTCCGTTAAAAATTTTATCGTTGTAACAAATGACATGAGATACAAAATTACGCACCACAAATACAAGATCCTGTTTATGCATTCTACAAAATAATGTATAAAATAGATACATTTATTATTTTACTTCCATTTATCATGAAGGGTAATGCAAATGAACTTTCCCCTAATTGAAGCATGTGCTCTATCTCAACTAAAAGTATAAGCTAACAGTTGGATTGCACATTAATGGTTATATGCTCAACACGCCCCCTCACGTGTGCGGTGGGTTCCAAGTAACACGTGGACCGTAGTCGCTTATCGGGTGGCGTAGAGATTCAAACGCATGACCTTTGGTCTGACTCTGATACCAAATTGAAGCATGTGCTCTATCTCAACTAAAAGCCTAAGCTAACAGTTGGATTGCACATTAATGGTTATATGTTCAACACCCCTGAGATGCAAATGATTGTGGATAAGGAAGTTCTATTTAAAGTGCAAGTAAAATCTGACCAGCAGAATAATTATCGTGGTCTTTTCATAGTACTGAATGAAACTCAACTGTGATGCAACACTTATCACAAAGGTCCGCGAGTCCTTGATGCGAGAGAATCAGGTTATTTATAACATTTAATTATTTACATATTTGAAACTCCAATTTCACTTTTTTTTTTTTAATTTAAAAAAAAAAACACACATTGAGAATTTCAATCATAATTAATTACAACACAGGAATCGGATAATTGTTCAAAATTACACAACATGCAAGACAACCACATAAAGGTAATATTCCCCATGATTAATTTAGTAATCACTATATTTATGTTTATTTGTTTAATTTGAATCATATTTCATTTGTGTTTGTTAATATTGTATTCAAGGATTTGTCTTCTGGAGATGAGGTCACTACACCCATAAAGGAAAAATCCAAGGATGACGGTGAAATTGATGCTGATGAAGTTGAACCACTGAAGCATTCAGTGAAACGTTCTTTAAATAATCAATATTCTACTAATGTTGTGGGAAAGAAGATGAAGGCGATTGTGAAAGAAGAGAAACTTTTATCACAAATAGTATAACCAATGCATCCTACTTCTTTAATTTCATTTTCAGTATAGCTTACATTTTGTTTTCAAACAGAATTTTGAATCTACTACTATGTGTCAAAATTTCGTTTTCAATTTCCGACTATACAAATAATTGACCTTTTTAAAATTCATTCAAATTATGCAATATATGATTCTGTGTAATTTTATAATTTTATTTATTTATTTATTATTTTTTTTGAAAACTTACAGTTTCATTTTAGTTACATAGAAAGTAATAATTATTAAACAAAATAATGATTGCATTATATCTCTAATTTCATTGCAAATTTAAACAAAATATATAATAATTATTAGGTACAGTAGCTTATAATATTTTTAAATTTAGTTCGTTAAACTTAATTCATTTACCGAACAAAAATTACAGTAGTTTGCATTATATATAATTATATATAATTATATATATACATATATATATATATATATATATATATATATATATATATATATAATATTCAACTTAATTTTAGTATATAGAATATTAATACTTTCCATATTTTATTTCCATTAATCATTTACCATTGATAATTACAAGGCTAAAACAACACAATATTCGTAAGGATTTATTTGGGTGAAGATTTATTTGGTTTCTATCTATTTTTAGTGCAACATTTATTTTTAAGCCAATCAAAATCAATTACTCCAGTAAGCATATTTGTTTTTCCATAAAATGTTTATGTTTGTGGGAATAATTATGGTTAGCCATTAATTACTCTATTCTCAATAAGTCTTTAACTTAAGATTGAAGCTACAAACAAAAGGGTTGCAGAAGACGCTAAGAACATTCCATCACAAAACAGAAACAATAAGCATTGCGATTACAGACCATGAGGGAGATTACATCTTCATGCACCATTGGGTCAAAGAGGAAACATTATCATCAAAACAAAGGTATTTTTCATTTCAAAAACATAAATATAGTAGAACATATTTGGTAGCTATCATGTAGTCAATGATGTATGTATTTTTATTAAACTGTTAGCACTAGAAACCACTAATCTTTTGGTGAAAATGGTGGTTCACATGTTCTCTCTTTTGTATTAATCCAATAGTCGTTTGAAATGTTAGGAAACTGTAATAAGATTTAGAAAAATTACATCAACACTAACATGCACAACCATAAACAATATGTTCCGGGATAACCAGGCTGCTACATCTACGTCCATTCAACTAAAAAGTACTCAAAAAATTATAATAGATCTATACATCAACAACCAACGTAATTTTGCAATAATTTATAATTTTGTCACTCTTATTTTTCTATATTGTATGTTAAAGTTTCCGTTCCAACTTTTTATATATTACATCATCTCTTAAATTTTTCACACAATTACACAATAAGATGAACAATATCCATCTCGTGCATCGCACGGGTATCATACTGGTTTGATTTAGATACAAGAATTATAAGAGCACAAGCTAAGGGGGTGTAAACACTAAGATACCTGTTTGGATTTTGATACATACAACTTGGAACAGAAGAGGTAAGCCACCATGTTTAAGAAGCCAATGAAAGCCAATAACAAGAAGTAATAATCAAGGTGTCCCTGGTTCAAGTTATCAGGAATCCACCCAGTAACAGATGAGACAACACTGATCATAAATGAGCTCAAGTAGGCTCCCAGGGAAGTGGTGAGCAGTGCCAAGGCAGTGCTCGAGCTTCGCATCGAATCGGGCGATTGATCATAGAAGAACTCCATCTGCCCGATGCACGTAAACACCTCTGCAGCTCCCATCAAGAAATACTGAGGCACCTGCCACATGATGCTCATTGGCACCAGCCCGAGGCCTCGTGCAAGCTCTAGTCGCCTCGTCTCGACCAATGCAGCCCCCAACATACACGAGGTCGATATGCAAATCCCGACCCCCATTCGTTGCAGCTCAGAGAGTCCCCTTTCGGTCCCCGTGATTTTCTTGGCCACGGGGACGAGGACCCTGTCGTAGATTGGGACACAGACTAGGACGCTGATAACGTTGAAACTAGAAAGCGAGGCTGCTGGGATGTTGAACGAACCGATTGTGGTGTCCATTGTCATTCCCTGCAGTATAGACAGTGTGGGCAGTTGGACATGGACAGCAAAAAACACTATCCCAGTAGCCCATATAGGCAACATTTGAACCAATCTCTTCAATTCTTCAACTTGTGTTACACTACAAATTCTTGTTAGAGGACTCCCCCCGGGTTTCTGAAACCTGTAAAGGGGCGTGCCCGAGAAGAAACTCGCAATAGCAATGGCCATGAAAAGAGTAGGAATGCCAAACCCGATCCCCCACCCTGCATTCTCTTGGATCCAGACAATTATAGTACTCGAGGCTAAAGCGCCAATGTTGATTGAAAAATAGTACCAGTTGAAGAAGGACCCCTTCTTAGGCCTTTCTGATGGATCAGTGTCATCAAACTGATCAGCACCGAATGATGAAACACACGGTTTAATCCCACCGGTTCCTAGCGCTATCAGATAGAGGCCAAGAAAGAATACAGCATTCTGGGCAGGAGTAGCAGAAGGGCACACAGAGCCCTCACACCCAGCAGGCCTTAAAGCAGGAACAGAAGCTGATAGAGTCAATGTGCACATTCCCTGCAAATGAAGTTAAGTTAAAGTTACCCAAAAAGGGCAAAATTGCATAATCATATAGCCATAACCCAAGTCCGACTCCCAACCAGGAGTGACCTATTGGTCTTCTTAGTTTGAGCCAATCAGCAATGAACAACCTAAGCTAGTTTACCTCCTAACCTAAGTTCGAGTTCCAGTCGGAACCGGCCTATTATATTGGCCTTCTTGGTTTGAGCCGATCAGCTATGAGAAACCAAGACTGATTTACCTCCTTGTGGTCCTTTGCTGGATAAGGTCACAAGACAAGGTTTAACCAGTGCACACCCTCGGGTAGTGAATGGCTGAGAAATCAAATTCTATGAGTGTGTATTGAATATTGCTATAAAACTTAGGCCTTTTTGATACAATATAAGTGGAATGAAATTATGCATATATACAATGAAATAAATGGTTGAGAAGGCAGCAATGGTCCAATATCTTCCCCAGTATGCATCTGCCAGGAAAGCTCCAATAAGGGGAGTAAGGTAACAGGTGCCTGCCCAAGTGGTGATGTTTGTAGCAGCAGAGGCATTTCCTTCATGCAAATATTTTGTGAGATAGCTCACAAGATTTATGGCAATCCCATAGTAGGCCAACCGTTCACAACATTCAGTACCTGCAGATAACAATTTAAGATTATAAACAAACAAGAGCACTGGTTAGAATGGGAAAAGAAGGTATTGGGCAGAGTCCGGTAAAGGGTCAAGTCTATTAATTGGTGGCTAGAGAGATTGTTGGGCGGAAACTGATGAAGGGCCAAGTCTAACACTTTGTCTCTCGAAAATGTGATGATGGTTTATAAGGAAGTAAAGTTGGGCCTTCACTACAAGTTATAGTTTTCAGTGTAATGGTAAGCATTTGATCTTAACAGAAGACAGTTTCTGCCCAATGGAACTAGCTAAGTTGTTTCGACCGATCAACACCTAACAGAAGGCAACTTCTGCCCTACAGGACTAGCTCAGTTGTTTCGACTGATCACCCTAAAACCTCAGCGTGGAAACTCGAATTCCACTGGAACCTGAGGATCATTGAGTGATCTTAACTGATCGGAGGTGATGAAAACTCTTTGCATAGGGGTAAAAACATGAAACAAACTGACGGGGCAACTCACGATTATCTCCTCCTCCAACACTCTTAGAGAGGAGTTCTGGGGTTTAGGATTAGTTTAGCCTGAAACCTAATGTATATTAAAAAAAGAAAAGAAAAAAGCAGCTTCCATACTAAGTATAAAGGGACAAGCTTTCCAGGTTCCAGTATTTGCTTTTAGAACAGGGTTCCCCTTAATGTCAACTGAAGCATCTCCTGCATAGATTTTGCAGTTTTGTGTCTGAAAGGAAAGTCTTTATTTCAGATTGATCATCAGCCTCAAACACAATAAATTTAAGGAGTAAAAGTGCATACATATTTTACACAGAAATATATAGAGAGAAATTAAAGAAGCTAATTAAGGGGGTTAGGTTGAAGGTGGAACTAATAACCTGTGGAAGAAGAAGATGGTGTTCTAAGAGCAATGTGTCTTCTTGATGAGTCTCCATTACAACACTATCTGTTTCTGCCCCTCCAACCAAATATAATTTATAAATTGGAAAGAGAGAATTTAATTATTTTCCCCGACAGTACTGCCCTCTACTACTTTTGTCCAAGCATCAAAACTTTTTAGCACATGGAAAACGAAAATTTTTAATATATTAAAATAATGGATTTTTTTTTAAATAAAAAAGTCCATTATTCGTATACTGAATACACATTATATAAATAATATATTTTTAGTACACAAATAATTTATAGTTTTCGAATATAATGTACATTTTTAATTTTATATTTTTTTGGTCAAATAATCTATAAATCTTATTTGATAAGCAAATGTTTAATGGAAAGTAATTAAAATGTATTAATTGATAATATTGCATAATTATTATATTGCAAATGTATTAAATGGTAATTAATTTATAGTAATGTGAATATTATGTATGGTAATAACATATGTAACACGGATTGCAATTTATATGCTAACCAAATCGTATATGCTACGATAGCCATATATGTATAAATATTGGGTTCTCATATTTATAACCAAATATTATAACCAAATGGTACGATAGCCATATATGGTAATATTATGTATATTATGGTAATATAACCAAATCGTATATGCTACAATAGTCATATATTGTAATATTATGTAAAAAATTTTGATTTAATATTATGGTAATATAACCAAATCGTATATGCTACGATAACCATATATGTATAAATATTGGGTTCTCATATTTATAACCAAATCATATATGCTACCATTGTTTATAAATATGAGAACCCAATATTTATACATATATGGCTATCGTAGCATATACGATTTGGTTATATTACCATAATATTAAATCAATTTTTTTTACATAATATTACCATATTCAAATAATTCTTCATTAAATGGTAGCATATATGATTTTATTATATTACCTTAATAGTAGATCATATTTCTTCATTATCATACATAATATTCATTTGCAAATTACAATCCGTATTACATATGTTATTACCATACATAATATTCACATTACTATAAATTACTTACCAATTAATACACTTGCAATATAATAATTATACAATATTACCAATTAATACATTTTAACTATTTTCCATTAAACATTTGTTTACCAAATAAGATTTATAGATTATTTGACCAAAAAATATAAAATATTTAATTAATGTAGTAGAAAAGTTTGGGCGGGAAAATGATTAGGAGGATTTTACTTTATATATATATATATATATATATATATATATATATATATATATATATATATATATATATATATATATATATATATATATATATATATATATATATATATTCCGGATCCCATGAGGTCAATTAGATGGATGAGATCATGAGATCTCATCTCATCCATTAAATCATTACATATAGAAGGGTGAGATTGAAAGAGATTTGTTATGCATTTAAGGTAGTAGTCAATACATAAGGGTGAATAAGTAATTGTAATATAGGAACTATTTATGGTTACAAATAAATTGAAATATATACCATGTAAAGGATCAACTGATTATGTGATTAGATTATATATTAACAGTAATAAATATATTGTGGTGAGAGCTGTACTAAAGCATTCGCTAATCAGAAACCAAGTGAAGCAGTTGTTTCTCAAGGCCACAGTGATTGCGTATATGGATAGAGGTATGTGCAACCGCACTAGTTCTTCTTTTACGATATTCTTACGTCTATGCATATATTATGTCGAGTCTGTGCATTTGTAAACCAAGGTGTGTGCAGTTTGTAGGCGTGTGTTTACTGAGTGCATTGGATGGCGTTTAGTTGAAATATCATTACGTTTAGTATGTACCTAACGAGTTTGAAAATGTTGAATCGGCAATGAGACATTGTGTTTTGATATGAAATGTGAATAGGCAACGAGACATTGAGAAAAAAAGAGTGGAAGTTAGTTATTAGCATGTGCAAGTTAGTTATTAGCATGTGCAAGTTAGTTATTAATTAGTCTATGCAAGTTATTTTAGTAGAGAGTGCAAGATATGTGCAAGTTAATTTTTTAAGCCTGTGCAAGATACGAAATAGCGGAAGTCATGCATCAAATACTCTACATGGTTTAAAATTGTTTTACAGTCACCGCGACATGTGTTTTGATATGAAATGTTATTGAATATTTTTTTTTTTGGACGTTTGTGCGAAACTAGTGTATGGATTTTTATTTCTGGAAAAACAGAACAAATAGGGACGTCGTGTGGTGTTGTCGTGTTGAAGTTTTCATATAGCCTGTGCAATTCAGTGTTATGTCTGTGCAAGGTATGTGCGAGATTGAGATTAGCCTTTGCGATTTAGTTTCTTAGTCTGTGCAAGTTAGTTTATTAAGATGTTGAATTTAGTTATTAGTCTGGGCAAGTTACTTTAGTAGAGAATGCAAGGTATGTGCAAGTTATTGTTTAGCCTATGCAAGATACGAAATATCAGAAGAAAATTACTGACCGTTTAAAGTTAGTGCATGTATATCGATATTTAAAATGTAAGCTATTCACGTGATTCCCAATGGATGGTTGAGATTGAAAGATTCCTTTAAACTAATTAAGGACATTTTGAAAACATAAAGGTTAAAAAGTAATTCTAGTATTGAGTTTATTTTTGGTTAAGATTAAATTGAAATCTTGAGCACAATATTAGGTGGAACATTAAAAGTAACAACTAGTAATAATTTGTATTGAGTGCTAAGAAAAAAAAAACCAACTTGTCTTAAGTATGTAATGAGTTTATAGTTTATTATGTACGACGGTGTGTGCGTGTGTGCAGCATGGCGTATGAAACTTATGGTGGTGTGTGCAAAAATGTGCTTTGGCGTGTGCACAACCGTAGTAGTTGAATTTGTTACATGGGGGAGATTTTAATCTATAATTTCAAGGCACCCGTCTAGTTTTTTAGTTTTGGATGTTTGCGTTACTATAGTTAGGCGTGTGCATAACACTATAGGGATGGGAAGCCAACAATGAATCAAGTGTAACAATTAAAAGCTTTGAGCACTACAACGCACACTTTGTATTTTTAAGTAATTGTATTGTAATGAAACTAAAATTAGACATTTTATTTAAAGTCAAATTGAACCTCTATGACATATTATAAAATAATATGACGTTTTAGTATGAACAGTATACTCTTAAGTTTCATACGCTATCAATAATAAAATTTTAAACTTTTTAATAAACATTGAATTAATTAAAAAATAAAGACATGATCAACATAATAGAAACGGTAACAAACATCTCCTACATCCCTAATAATAGTAAAGCTCTGTTTGACTGTATCTCCAGTTCCATCCTATAAACACAATATAAGATATATTTGAAACTAATAAAAACAAATATGATATAAACCAATTGGAAGGAGGCATATGCAACAAACATGTTTCAGAAGTATACATATATGCAATGAAAAAACTTGTCAGTCTTTCCACACGCGCACAGACTACAAGCCTCATCGCACACACTTAAGGCTAAGACACAAAAGAGACCATGATCTAAAATCTCACACTACACCATAGCACAATTATAAATTATAATAGAGCAAAGTTAAATGCACACAATCGGTGAGTCTGTCCAACCTATGCAAATGTGAGTAATTGTACATTTTGCATCAACGATCACACCAATGTACATTTATGATAGAGACAAAGTAAATGCACATATTGTTCAGACAGGCATATAGCTGAACCTTTCTCTAGTAGAAATTCAGAGAATACACCTCACAATGCGCATACTATTCAGTAATGTTGCATGCACAGACGACATACCTCACACACACACCTAAATATGCAAAAAAACACCAAACACAAAGCGACGGATCAAAATCGCATAGACCATCCAACATTTTAAACCAAACAAATGCAATGCACAGATTGTATTGGCAAGTTGCATCAACCAAACAAAGAAGGAAGCCATTATGATCCTAAATAAATCCAAATTATATCAGATGGTTGTTTTATAGAACAGATATGCAAAGTCGAAGTTTAATTTGTATAGATTCCTAACAACAAAATAGTCTTCCATGTATATATGCAAAGTCGAAGTTGAGGTTTATTAAGGAGAAAGATATAACCCATAAAAATGTGTTGTGACCATGAGATAAAACCTTTGAAAACTATGCAGTGCAAGTTCATGAACAAAAACGAGCTTGCACGGCAAATGGAGTTGGATCAACTTTCCCAGCCTCCATAAGACCATGATTCAACTTAAATGGCTTAAAGTTCTCTATCACAAGCAGGTGACCCTGTTATTATACAGACAAAGAGAAGAAGTTTAACATCATATACATAATAGTAATACAGATAATAAAGACAAAACATAAATCATTCTTGTAATTCCAAGAAACCTGAACCACACCCCTCCACCGTCGGAAAATCGCAACAGAAAACCCCCACCCAGCCGCCACCCATAAACCCAAAAAAAAAAAAAAAAAAAAAAAAAAAAAAAAAAAAAAAAAAAAAAAAAAACTAAAGAGTCCCACCACCCATAAACCCACTACCCAACCGCCACCCCTAAACCCACCACCCATCCGCCAACCATAAACCCCTCAAAAAAGAAAACAAAAACCTAAAGAGAAAACGCAAACAAAAATGGGTAACGAAGAAAACAGAGAAGCAACATACCTTGCACACCGGTGGATGACTCCTTTAGTTGTTTGGATCGTCGAAGCGAAGAAGCGACCATGGTTTCTCCCGAATTTTGAATAGACAAAGCAGACGGTAAAGAGAGAAACGAACGCAGAAGAAATGCGCAACCGAGTACTCGGGGAAAAGCTAAAACCCTTATCGGAGAAGATAACCCACACGAAACGGAGAAGAATGAGAAGATACGGCAAAGGAAGACTTCAAATAGTAACATACGATTTCGCCCATAATTAACCCTACACAAGCCCACAAAATCTGCTATAAATTAATACAGCCTAATAAAGACATGACCAAAAAGACATTAAAGCCCCTAAATGTACAAATACATCAACGCACACGCTCATAATGAAGACTACATCTAGAACATTCAAATAAGCCAACAGACGTACAAGATTGAGCCT